GGGGGGGGCGTGGCTGACTGGGTGAGCATGGCCAACTGGGTGGGCGTGGCTAGTTTGTCATCAATCCCAAAACTGCTGGCATGTTTCCTCTTCGCATTGAGTAGGCCGAAGCCAGGTTCACCTGACCTTTCCTCTTCGCATTGGGTAGACCAGAATGGCCCTGTGGGCCAGATCTGACTACATCCCAGGCTGGATTCGGCCTATGGGTCTTGACTTTGGCACCCTTGGTGTAGGGTGTCATGCTTGAGCAGGGATTGGACTAGAAGTATTCAGGGTTCCTTACAACTCTGTTATTCTGTATTGTGTTGATGTAACCTTAAAATAAAGGTGGAGCTAATACTAATACTAATCCTTAGCACAGCTAATACCCAAACTAACAGCAAGTATTGCACAAGAACATATGCAAAAGTGCATTTATATGCAAATGGGTAAGTGTAGACAGAAAAAAAACCTATACCCAAAAGAACACCTTGATTTCTTAAATGGGTTTTTTAAGAAGATGCAATTTTGTTGAATACATATATATCCTAATTAATTCCAGCTTTGTCGCCTGAAATTTCTGGAATATTGATGAGCAAAAGAAAAATAAAAGTAATGTTGTCATTGCTCACATGTTATGAAATTTCCCACGATCTTTCATAAGGAGTAACCTTGTGAAACATCACTAGCCAGAAACCAATATATTCTTTCCCCAAAATATGCAACATTTGTACTACTGCCTATTAACAGTTCTAAGAAGCTTCTAGGAAATTGAGTCAACAAGGCCCAATGCATACAAATGATTCTGAAAAATATACTGTTTGATAATGTAAATTGCTAATTAGAACTCCATCTGAATTGTATATTTTATTCCTGTAAAGAACTTGAATATATTCTGTCTTCACACAAAAGTAGAACAGATATATTGGCTTATACCCTTAGTTTAATTAAACATGTATACTTACATATTCTACTATAGTAGTAGCCATAGCAACAAAAGAGAAAGTGTATCTCTTATGACACTTCCAAATTTTTGTGTCAAACTGCTATGAAGGCGGGGAAAAAATACGTCGCCAGCTCTAAACAGAAGAAAATAAATGTTTTTAAATTCCAGCTTTAAGCTTCAAAAGAAGCCCACAGATCTGGTTAAACAAACATCGATTTAATTCAGTGCTGCCATTGAACTGTAATTTAGTTGTCCACTAAATAACCTGAACTATATCACAGTTTTAATCATGTAAAATAGATCAGAAATATAAATACACCTTTTTCCTTTTCCTGATAGTCTGTGATGTACAAATCAAATATTGAGTTTTGTCAAAAAATTAAAAGGCAAAGTTAATTTTTTTAAATACATTTTTCCTTTTCAATTAGTTAACATGCATTGTGGCTGGACTTTATTAATTTATTGTGTCCACCTTATTCTATTGACATGCACTTGATTGATTGATTGATTAAAAAACACTTTCTCCAACATTGAACTGCTTAACTATTTACATTATACTAACACTTTATAGATCAACTGGTGTATTTATTCAGTTTGCATAGTTATTTACAAGCCTTTTCAGTAATCCTATAAAGCTGCTGCATTGCTTGATAATCAAATGCTTTTGCTTAAAGTGAATGTATTTATGGAACCCTAGAATTGAAAAAGGCTATTAAGAGTCACTCCTGCTCAATACAGTATAAAGTATACATAAAGTATCCTTGAAAGATAGTTGTCTAGTCTCTGCATAAATATATTCACTGTGTCAACTCGTAAAGCATTCCTATGCCTGTTTTCAAATTGGCATAAGCAGGGGAGGGAAAAACCAGAAGTACATTCCATGCTTATTTTACAAAGATAGTAGCTAGGCTACCAGATCTTCTGCCCTCAAAAATCCTTCATTGGAGAATGTGTTTGATGACACCCAGCCCATGAATGTGCTTTGTTAGAGAATCTGATTGATGACATACCCAGGGAGGAAGGGGAAAACAGGGTCACAGGTGACTGTAAATCACTTGTGTCAGAGTTGGCTTCAACTAGGATAATGCTGACATGTTGTTCCTAATAAATCTTTTGGATTCTTTTGAAGCTTGGCTGAGGCTCATGATTTAATTAGGGCAATCACCAGAACCCTGACAGCAAGCTAACTCCCACCTTGCTATCCTCAGTCTGCAGCTACCCTCCTGTCACCAGATGGTCAGACCCTATTCGTAAAGCATTCCTATGCTGTTTTCGAGTTGCCACAGTGAATAATTGGTTCTCTATTGGACTTTTCACCCTGTTAGGAAACTTGCTTTCTAATATTCAATCAGAACCTGTCTTTCTGTAAGATAAATCTATTATTCCATGCCATGTACTCTGGATTGATAGAGAAAGTCTTGATGTCTTCTGAGCAACACCTTTCAAATAGCTGAAAAGAGTCTCCGTGTCTCCCTTTGTTCTAAATTAAGTCATCTCTTCTGAATGCTCTGACTTTTTCAGTCTCATTTCACTTCTAGTTTCCTTCTGTCTTGCTCTCTGAAGCTATTCAAGTTTTTCTGAACCCTTCTTTAGAGTTCAGTGCCCCAAACTGGATATTATACAAATACTTGTAAACTAAAATGGAACGTTTACTTCCCATGTTGTAGAGGAGAGGCGTCAAACTCAATTTCATTGAGGGCCACATCAAACACATTGTGTTTGATCTTGGGGGGGGGCAGCGGGGGGCATGGCCAGGGTGGCCATGGCCAGCATGACATCGCTCATGTTGGGGGAGTGCTTGTGGTGGCCTGAGTGCTCCGACAGCAAAAATGGGCTCCCAAGCTTCGTTTTCGACTGCAACAGCCTCCTGCATCACTCTGCCAATGAAAACTAAGCTTGGAAGGACCGCATGTGGCCCTCATGAGCTCCTTTTTTGCTGGAAGAGGCACTGTGGGCCCATCTTGTTTCCAGGGCAGCCCCACGGGCCAGATCTAAACAGCCCGCGGGCACTGAGTTTGACACCCCTGTTGTAGAGACTACATTTCTGTTGAAGCAGCCAAACAGCTCTTTAAATAGTTGATGGTCTGTCACACTGCTAACTCATATCCAGTTTGCAATCCAATAGTGTCCAGTTCTTGTTATTCCAGGAAGTTTTTCACAAGCACAAATACCAACCAATATGTTCCCATCCTATAAGAACATTTGATTTTTTGTTTGTTTGTTTCCCTGGAGAAGAATATTGCATTTGATTCTTTTAAACTTCACTGTATTATTTTAAGCCTGTTTCTCTACTCTATATCATTTTTAAAAAATTCAGTTTTTTTCTTTTAGTATACAAGCTATCTTCTCAAATATTGCACCGACTGCAAATTTAATAAGTACTCTTATTTTCATCCAAAACATTAAGAAAAATGTTGAAAAGAAAAGCACCTAATACTGAACTTGATGACATCTTCCTGAACACTTTAGTTTCATAAGGAAAATTAGACTACAGTTTTCAATTAAACTACTGTTCCTATGTGTTTTATTTAAAATTAAATATTTAAATGATATTGATTACACTGTTGCCTTGATTTAAATTTCATTGTTTTTATTCCTTTGGTCTTCTGTTTTACCATGTGTATTTTACTTACTATAACGATCTTGACTGTTATATAAAAAGTGGGATGTCTATGGAAATTCTCAATCATCCAGTCATGGTTATCCCAAGGTGCTTTTTCCAAAAGACATCTGGACTTTCTTGGGTCACCCCAAATTACCAGCCACCATGCTGTAAATCAAAGACCAAAAACATGTGGAAGAGGAGAAATAGTCTACACTTTTACCTCAAGGACACTTCAGCAGGGGGCTAAGATCCTCAGAAGGATTTTCTCAGAACACCTTGAATGCATTTAATTGGACAATGTGACCTACACCAAGATGGGGAGGGAGAATTTCATACTTTAATTATATGGGATTGCACGGGAAATAGCTAGAAATAGTTTTGCCTTAATCTGTGCCAAAATGATATCCCCAATAAAGCTTTGCCTAAAGAGATTGAATTGATTCGATTGTGCTTTCTTGGGTGGGTTCATCAGTTGGAAATTTGACACCATTACCAATCTGATGGCCCATATTCAATCAGTTGACAAATACAAGAACAAAGGCTGGAATGATAGCAAAGTAAAAAGTTGAGGGCCCTTAGTCTGTCTTAACAAGTGAAAGCTGGGTCAGAAATGGGCTAAGAATAGATATTTGGAAAGACAGCAGGGTAGATTAGGCAGTTGTTAGAGTCATTTGTTTCTGCTTCTTCTGTTCTCTATATTGACTGTGACAGTTTTGGAACATTCTCCTTTTACTCAGTCTCATTCCTGCTTCTGTCAGCTAAGGATATTACTATTGTAGCTTCTGATGTTTGACATACACAGTGTAATCTTGTCCTCACCACTGTGTTCCTTATTGCTGCTTGATATAATTATTGTTTTCTACTTTGTTTCAGGACAGTTGCCCAGAAAAAAATGTCCATTTTCTTTTTTTATTTTTGTTTCTTTTTTTTTTCACTTCCATGTTCACCAATAATGCTGCCCTGTTTTCATAATGTCAAGTTTCCTATCTGCATTGAGAATGCATGGACACTAATTTTCTGTTTTGATTTTAAAGCAGTGCTCAGGAATTGATTTATTGTGTCACCCACATAGTCTTTATGAAACCCACAGATGGTGATGCATTACTCAGCTTCATTGGGATGTTCACACACAAAAAAGGTTGCTGTAAATTTTTTTTGTTTATTTATGTTTAGGATTTATAAGGCTGTCCAACTCAAACAATGTGATTCTGAGTGGTGTAGAGCATAAAATACAAATAAGAGAAAGACAGAAGGAGGAAGAGAGAGAGACAGAGACAGAGATCATGTAGCAATAAACAAATTCAATATATATATATAGGTCTAGGTGTGTTTGGGTCTTTTCCCATGTAAGATTAAGTGTATCTTGGCGACGTTTCAGCAAGGTCCCACTCACCATCCTCAGGCTGGTGCTTTCGGCTTCGTGCCAGTGCAAGCAGTGTGTGATCGGAGCTGCCGTCTCTCTATAAATACTGGTGGTGGGGGCTGGTGTGCTGGGCTGGTTGGCTGCGCTGCTGCCTCTTGATTGGTTGATGGAGTTGATGTTGGTATAATGGGCTGTGTGATGGCCTTGTGAGTTTTGTTGTGGAGATATCCTGGATCTTGTGCTGTAATCTCCTGAGTTGTTTCTTTTGTAGTGATCTTTTTTCCATTAGCCTCTCGTGTTTTAACGGCTTGGGTAATGGGTTGTATGATGGGGGATTGGCGGTGGTGTCCCCCTCATCAGACCATGAATACACACCCCCAGTCCAAGAATGGGTGCAATTGATGCAAAAGGTACCCCCCCCCCCTGCTCTTTGAGGAAGATCTGTAAAGCCATAAAAAACTCCAGATTACACACTAAATCTGGATGAAATAGTGCCACAACCTCCAGAACCAAATATGGAAAGTCTGCAACACCCAGATTTTGGAGACTCAAAACTTACAACCACAGTTTTGGTGAAGTTGAGCTATTACCCCTTCCTTCCCATTCAATATTAAGGGATACTTCATACATTTTAATAGGGATCCCTTCATTAAAAGCAGTTTTCCTCCTGTATTTTTTTTTAACAGAAAAGTAATCAGTAATACAAAATTAGATACAGGTAGATTGTCTGCTTCTTCCTTGTCACATTCTGCATCTGTGTTTAACTACTTGATTTGTGTCCTCTGCCCCACAGCAGGTGTCAGAATGCCAAACGTCAATTGCATATCAATGAAATTACTTTCATATGTTCTTTTAAATACGTATTTAGCTTGTTGATTCTTTTTTTGTTTTCATGAATATCATTGTTTCAAATAAAGGAGGAATGATTTAAACAGCTACAATTATCAAATAATGCCTTCCCTGGGTTGAATTTTGCAATAAACATGATGACTTTTATTGGAAGAAGAATTATGTTCTACCTTTCATTGAAGTTGTTTGATGGCCTTTCATTGTATACAAGGGCCATCTTTAGATGTCTATATTGATTCACCTTAGGGATCCACATTAGAGATGCAGGTTCCCAGCATGAACACATAAAGACTTCACCACTTTCCAATCAATTCTAATATTTTCTTGCCAGAACACTTCAATTTCTCCACAACTTAACACCTGAAAGAGTTATATACATTTTTAATAAGTTCTTGCACTCTCTGACTGAAGAATCTTGATAAATAGATTGCTTTTTTCATTTAGTACCAAATTAGAAATGAAAATGAGCAGTAATACACACTTTCTCTGAAAAAAGCAAATATTTACCCCTGCAAGTGGACTAGAGGGAGTTGAATATTGGCATAAACCATCTGCATAGAGAGGTATGACTTATTTATTCTATAGGATTTTATTTTTTAAAAAATCAGATGCATTGACTACTTTGAAAAATGACTGGGGGTTGCAAAACTCCTGGTACACTTTTTAAAACTTTGCAAAAGCTTTTGTCATAGTTGGTTTCTAGACTGCTAACAATTCAGGGAACCATATACTACATTAAAAACCAACTGCAAGCTTCTCTGTTATTGAGGAAGGGTGCTACTTCCTTGTTAGATTATAGGGAAGGCTCTTAGAATGAAAATCAGAAAGTTCTAAATGAAAAAATATTTCAGTTGCTAGGATTCCTGTAACCCCATTCTATTCATCTCAATAAAATCTTGCTAAAAAAAACTCTGTAGAAAAAATGCTTAGGAATGCTCAGGAAGTCCCAGCAGTTCAAATGAATATAAAGATTAATTGCAGACTTAAGCTCTCTACAAGAATCTGAATTATTAATGGTAAAAGCAAAATGGTGGTAGATAAAAGTCAAGGGAATTCAGGGTGGGCTGGAGTTAGATCTCTTGTTAGATCTCTCCCCTCCCTCAAGATCAGCCTGGTCATCTACAAGATAGTTACTTTCAAAACTGGGAATCTGGTTAGTTTATTACCAAACCAAACTGCATTCCCTTTCTATCTCAAAATCTTTTTCATTTTTATGACCTAATATTGTCACAACCTTCTCAGTCCCATTATTTCCACCATACATACCAGTATTGGAAGGCAATTTCTTATGCTTGGTACATTTCATATTATTTGTTATTAGTTCCACACTAATGGCAAATACTTGTCATTTTTCTTTCTTGTTTTCCATTTCAAGAACAACAAAACTAAAAACCATATAGTATTTGCATTATGATTCCCTTGCTCTTCCTGTTTCCTCCATACAGTCATCCTATATTTTTCAGTTCATTTTTATCAGTTGTACATGAATAAAAACTTAAAGAATTTTGCTTTTGTTTAAAACATTCATGAAGGCTGATTACATATTACTACCGTGTTTCTCATATAATAAGGCCGGGTCTTATTTTTTTTGAGCCCCGAAAAAATGTCTAGGCCGTCTTTTCAGGGGTGACTTAATTCCCCCCCCACCTTGCATCTTAGGGCGGGCGGCGATGGCTTGGATGTTGACCTTAGCATTGGTGGCACTTTGTATCAGGGTCAATGCAGGCAGCACCATATCCGGGTGTGCAACAAAAGTACTTCCTAACAGCAAGCCCCCCCGCCATTTCCCCCCCATTTCACATGTTTTAATATAGGCCTTAATTTGGGGGGGAGGGGCTTAATTTCATTTCATGCCTATAAAATATGCTGGGACTTCCTATTGGGGGAGGCAATAGGAAGAATTCTTATTGGAGAAACAGGGTAGAGTTGCTGTGATATATTATATTTCTTCTTTGCGCTTAATTTAGAGCATGCAAGGCAAACTAATTACGAGATGAATGAAATTCAGCATTATTATTAGGAAGTTTTCCAAAAAGACACAAGAAATGCAATATGTAAAGCAGATGCGGAAGCATTATGTAGGAAGAAACCATTGGCATCTGTGCCAAATTAGTTAATACCTAGAACTCTGTTTTAATCTCTGTCTATTACGGCTGTGCAAGAGTCTGGATTTGAAGATTCTCTGTGAAGATTATTTAAATGAATTTCCAAAACAAATCTTTCAAACATCTCTAATTTCATTTGGATTCAGAAGGGCTTCTGTACATGCATGGATGCTGCTTCTTTGAATCAAATTAATCCAACACAATTTGAAGCATCACATTAACTGTTTGATTGAAACCAAACCAGCGATTCAGATTGGAGTTGATTTGCTGGATACAAGATCACAGCTGTGTTCATCTTTAGTATAATTAGCTGGCCATTTCTAGAAGTTCTTATTTGCTTCACCTTTTTTTTAACCAACTATAAAGCATTTATAGCAATTTTCCTAAAAGTTGTAGCTTGGAGTAACTTTATCAATAAACACCAAGATAGTTGAGTTATATAAGAATAAGTGTTGGAAATGCCACAATGTTTTGGCATCTGTGAACAGTCATATAAAATGATCAAAACCTACTGGGAAGAAATATTTCAAATATGAAGAAAATTCTAAAAATAAAACAATTATCACATTTTTAGTTAAAATTCCAGAAAATATAAATTACAATTTACCAAGTTATTTGCTGACAGCTGGGAAAACATGCTTGGCACAACACTGGAATACAGCAGCTTTGCCAATGATATCAAATTGGAGTAATGAAAGTATGACCAAATCTAAACAGGAATAGATCATGGATTCCCTTATATATGCATGCTATACAACAAGGGAAATTTAGTTATTGGGAATATGATTTTTAGAAAGAAAATTATGAGATCAATCAAAACAGCAACAATTAAATAATTTAAGTAGATATTAGCAATGATAGCAATAACACTTAGACTTATATACTGCTTCACAGTGCTTTTACAGCCCTCTCTAAGTGGTTTACAGAGTCAGCATATTGTTCCCAACCATCTGGGTCCTCATTTTACCAACCTGGGAAGAATGGAAGGCTGAGTTAACCTTGAGACGGTGAGACCCAAACTGCTGGCAGCCGGCAGTCAGCAGAAGAAGCCTGCAGTACTGCATTCTAACCACTGTGCCACCATGGCTCATAATAACCCTCAATTTCCATATGAAAAAAGAAATATTTGCATGAGTTTGCTACAACAATGGAAGGGAAGTTGAGAAAACATTGCTAAAAAGGCTTTCCACAATGCCTTTTTAAATAATATAGCTGTTTTTCTTACTTTGCATTTTGTATTTTTAGTCTTCTAAAGCAGCTTTCCCCAACTTTTGTGACTTTATGTGGGCTGGCACACACAAATGAGTGTGCAGCTCAATTTATGCAAGCAGTGGGCCTGGCCACATGTAGATGTACACACAGCTCAACTTATGTACATTGAACTGCGCACATGTGCGTGCCAGCCTGCCAGTCACACAGGTTGAGCTATATACATATGGCCCAGTTGCAAATAGGAAATAGTCTGGTAGCTGGCCACAGATCAGAGGTTGGAGACCCCTGTTTTAAAGAGACCACCAAAAGCTTTTAAAAATTTAGATTAGAAAAAGAATAGTTTTAAAAATTTTGCATTGTCCATGTTGTCAAGAAAATCACATTTTTTTAACCAAATTTTGTTTACATATGTATATAAACTCCAATAGCAAAACTCAGAGAAAGGCATTTTCTCAAAGGTCCATTTTATTTGAGCTGTCATACTGGCACATCTGGGAAAACCCAAATCAGAAAGTTCCGGGTTTTCCTCCAATAATTAAAAATTACAAATCCATCCCCTGCACCCATAATTCCATCACATGCCACAATCACCATCTGTTCCAACTTGAGACATCCCTTCATCCAGGTGCAGAAATAACATGACCTTGATTCTACAGAAGAATGCTATTATGTCTAACTACATACGCTCCATAAAATCTCCACTCCCAAATTCCCAAGCTCAAGAATGTGGCAGCATGGAAGCTTCTGGTGCTTCCAAAGCTTCCAAGGCTTCCAAAGGCTTCCAAGCTGACACATGGATATTTTACAGTTGATATGGATATTCAGTTTTTCCAACAAATAAGAGACAAGAACTATTTCCTTCTTCAGCACATAATGGAATATCCTTGTTGATTTGAAGCATACATGAAAAATCTGCTACCTCCAATTTGCTTCCCCTGCCCCCATAGAATTTG